ATTTCGAAGAAAATTTATCTTATTCTTCGTCCGGGAGAGCATTTAAAATTTGCCTATTTTTTTTAAGATGTCAATTTTAGGTAATGTGTTATAGTAAAATGCTTGTAATTCAATGTTATTTTCAGAACTATCGTAATTATACATAAACGTTATATGTAATTATATATATAAAGTTAAAAGGTTTGGTAAGGTCTCACCAGGGATATGTATAGGAGACGTAAACAAAACGTGCATTGTTTAACACTCGAAATCCGTTCTCATCGAAATAACGGCTCGCGTCATTTGCGATGTCCGCGGCATTCGCGAGCTGATTTCTCTCTTCGCTCATTACGCGTGTCAAATGAATCGCAAAGCGATATCGAAGTCACCGTCCACCTCGGCATGTCGTTCGAGCGCATACGTTGCAGGGCGTAAAAAAATTTCACGGTGCGCTTGTACATAAATTCCGATGTTTACGGTCTAGTCGGGGGGGGGGGGGATACTGCTCGCGAAGCCAGTCAGGAACACCCCCGTCGCACGCGCACGTGCGCACACCGACATTCGCGCTTCCGCCTGCACACGTACGCTCCTGTAAAGAGTCTGGCAAATATTTCGCCGGGTTTACACGCGACGGCAGCGACTTTACCGGAAAACCCGTGCCCGATCGTTCCGTTTTTCCCTTCGCTCTGCCGATGCCGGTCCGGCGCGATCCCTTTTTCTCGCTCCAGTATCCAACCGGCCGGGAGGTCCGCATAATATCTCCATTTGCCGGAGCGACGATGTACGGTGCCGGCGGGCGTTTATTTACAAGACGGTCGTCGCAGTTAAATCGCAGATAGCAAACGCAGATTTGCCGCACCGACAACAACGGTGCCTCTCGCCGCGCCGGGAAGAAACTCCTCCGAGATACCTTGGGTAAGGAGAAGGAAGGGAAGAACGCGGCACGGTCGGCACAAGAAGAGAACTCGCGCTTGACTTCGGTTATAATATCTGACCTATCCGTCCGAGAGAGTCGTTCTGTAATTCCCCATCGGGAACGGGATCGCGCCGACATCACGCCGGTGAATCGCGGTGTCGATACGTAACGTCCGCGACGAGCGGAGTCGCCAAGTTCGCTGCACGGCAAATGTCGCAAGGCCGTTCGTCGACTTGTTGCCCGCTCCAAGTAATATCGAGAGACGCGTCTCGGCGAGCGGCTGGTTTTCCAATGGAATACGAAGTGACTACGATAGGAGCACAATCTATCAACCAGAAAGATTATTATTTATTTCTTTGAAATCCTATCAATGCTTGATATATTTCGAAATGATCATTTTTTTAAACAGAATTTGATATAAGAGAGAGTTAAAAGATTAAAGTTCATTATATTGTATGAAGATACATCTTTTATTATGCTTTTTGCCCTCTTTTGAATTTAATGTTATAAAAGTTGTCTATATATACAAACGTTGTTAAAAAAAATAACGATAAAATTTATTGCAGGATTTTAAGATACATTTATTTCGATGTGGAATGCATATTTGTTTGTTATGTGTACCGTTACGTTGCGTTAGCCTGAATTTTCAATTTCATAGCTAAGTCCTACGCATCCTACGCATTGCGTGATGTCTCGTCGCAGCGCGACGACATCACGCAAAAAAGGCGGCATGCCTTTCGATCTAATTAGGTAATTCCTACGAGAGTTAGAGATTTATCCTGTCATAATTTTGATGGCAGTGGGGTCGACGACCTGTCATCAACGTCATGCTCACGACAAATTCGTTTTATTATTTACGTATAGACGACTCGATCGAATGACTCGGATATTGCGATTTCTCGTTCACGGTACTCGTGTCAAGCGCACAATAACCGCGATCTGCACTGCGAATGGTTCTGGAAACATCGACAGACGCTTTTCGCGAACGAGTCAACGTTACCTCATCGAAATTATTAGAGTTACCGCGACAATCGATAGATATTATTATTGGAAAACGATGAAGAGAACTATTGATAAAAGATTTCGTGTATTTTCATCCATCGCGGTTCTCTGCCAAGGCCATGACCGTCGCGAGCGACTGCCGCGATACGAAGGCAAGGCGCAGTGATTGTGCCTGACATGTCGCGAGCGTATCGAGAAGGTCGGGGGGGAAGAAACGATCTCACCGCGATGGACGAGGGGGAAAGTGTAACCGATCCCCGAGAGCTCGAAATCGAAAGTAATTTCCTCGGTCTTGCTCTTTCTCCGCCTCCTTTCTCCTTTCTACAGAAGCCCACGATCATTCTTTCTCCCTGACCGGGATCCAGGTCAAGTTCACTGTCTGTGCTCGACAGTGTGTCTTTCTCTCTTTCTCATTTCACTTTCTCCTCTCTCGTCACCCTGCTCTGCGCCCTCTTTCTCTCTCTCACTTTCTCTCTTCCATGGTACACCGCTCGATCTCCCGCGCTCTCTCTCCGGCGCTTATGCAAGAGGCATTACACCATCGGCAGCAATTTCATTCGTACGTCGTGACTCCAATGAACACGGTCGCGGCGAGTTATTATGTCAGTGTCAATGGCACCGATTCCCCTTGGGAGAAAGAGATCCCGATGGTTACCGGGTGCCAGTTTCGTTGTTCGCGCGCGGTTCGCTGAACCGAATTCCCCTTCCCTCGCTGAGCCAGGCTGAACCAAGGTGAACCAAGATGAGTCGAGGTGGATACATCGTCTCGGATATCTCTCGCGAATATATCGCGCAGGACGCCGCTGGCCAATGCTTTATGGCTGCTCTCGTCTTCTCGATAAACTCCTTTCCGTCGTAAATATGGACGATGCACAGCACAAACGTACGTACAAACGGCGGATAAGAGAAGGCACAATGTTGGTTAACTTCCTGGACATCGCCAAGGATGGTTTATTAGCAAACACTGACAATTAACGATCGTCCGACCGTTGGGAAAATTTTTACGTGTGTGTTTTTTTTCATAAATCGAACGTAACACGAATATTTTGCAAGGACGTGAAAGATCAGATATGATCAGATGAATTATGTACAAAAAAATACCGAAGGTCATTGTACAAAATTGAAGAATAATTTTTCGCGATTTTTTTTAAAGAGGAAGAAAAACATGATGAAGGTATTTTATGCCGTTAGAATAACTTTGCATATTAATTATGTGCATGTGTGTGTCAGAATCTTATAATCTGTAAATCTGATAAATGAACTATCGATTTGCAATTAAATAACCGCGCGTAGTTAATCGTTTTATATATATAGTCTTTATATATATATATATATATATATATATATATATATATATACTTTTTACTATTATTATTGTAGATATACTAACTAACTTAACTACTTAACGTTTCGTTACGTAGTAACGGTCGTACGTCGTTGTGTTATTTCTACTACTACGTACGTATAGTATATATAAGTAGTAAGAAAGAGACGGAGAGAGTACGACGAGAACGTACTCTACATTAAACTAACACAACACAGAACACACACACACACACACACACACACACACACACACACACACACACACACACACACACACACACAGGAGGTATCCCATATAAAAAATCGATAAAAAGAAGCACGTCTTGTCTCGCGACGGGAATGAATGGAGATAGAGTCCGGTGAAGATTTCACCGTAAGATTTTTTCCCGGAACGATCGAGGAAGCGACTTTTGATCCGGCTGCGAATTTACCGTCGCGAGTGGTTATCGATGTAAAGGATCGATAGTGAGTCAGCGAATTGGATTTCCGATGTCATCGGCCAATGTTCGCGTTCAATTTCTAAATAAATTTTAACGCAATTCTACCTTTAATAATCGAGAAAAATTAAATCAATTTATATTTGCGGATTTATTTTTCAAGAGAAGTTTTAAATTCCAAAAATTAGATGGTATTTTCGCATGCCGATTTTCCTCCGATCATTTCTTTATCGCGCTGACATCTCAGCTTCTGAGAGCTCGGTGGACGAAGTTGTCGCGAGCGAGAAACCCTTCGAAGGATACGCTCGCATCGACGCGCGTAGCGCGAATGCGCGTATCCGCGACGAGCGCAATCCGCTGTTTCTGCGTTTATGCGCACTCGCGCTTGCGCATCACTGCTTCTGCGGCGCGGCGACCGACCGGTGTTCCTCGTCTCATCCTGTTCCTCTCCGGTCCACGATCCGTTCGCCGGTGACACCTAATACGTCCAGGACAATTCGCGCGCAGTCCGTTCCACTCGCGAGTCCGATATTAAGGATATCGTCGAAGAGAAAACACAAAAGGACAAAAAGGATATCCTTCCATCCCGCGCCGATAGCCGGGATGTTACACGCGTTAGTCCTGCGGACATGCCGTTGGTGATCGAACGCTGAGAAAAAGGGAAAGAGGGAGGACGAAAAAGAGAAAGATGAGAAGTGTACGGGAAGGTGGGGAGGGAGGAGGGTAGGAGAGGCTGAGAGAAAGAGGTAACGTGAGAGAGAAAGAGAGAGAGAGGAAACGAAATAGAGTAGGAGAGAAGGTGTGTGCGAAAGGGAGCGAGAATGGAAGAAAAAGAGAGGATGCTCTCTCCAGTGTGTAGCCTGCGGGTACACATCTCCTCGCGTTGCTCCCCCGCCAATCCGCTCGTGCGGCGTGGGGCGAGTTTGAGGTAGGGGGCCGCACGACGCGCACGGCGGTGGTGGCGGTGGTGCGCGCTGCGCTGCGCTGCGGCGGCGGCGGCGGTGGCGGCGGCGGCGGTGGCGGTGGCGGCGGCGCGGCTGCCAAGGTATTTAAGGTACCGTGAACCGGCGGCGCACGAGTAGTTCACTTCTGTTCGGTGTGGTGTTGCGGTGATTTTGAGGGGGCCAACTAAAGAGAGCGAGAGCGAAAGAGAGAAAGAGAGCGAAGAAAGAGAGAGAGAGAGAGAGAAGAAGAAGAGAGAGAGAGAGAGAGAGAGAGAGAGAGAGAGAGAGAGAGAGAG